TCAGTGTCTGCCGGACCAGCTGAAGGACACCACGTTTGCTCAAGTGCTAAAGGACGACTCCACCACCAAACGCTGGCTCTCACAGCTCGTCAAAAACCTACAGGAAGGGCAGGTCACAGACCCCCGCGGCATCCCTTTACCGCCTCAGTAACACACTCATCCAAAACCCTCCAGAACGGCCAGCACCTCACCTTACACACATCAGACTGTTCTTACATACAAGGGCACTTAATATTTTTTGCCAAGATGATCAGAAACGGTGCTCAGCATTTACGGTTTGTTTTTCGAGATATTAAAATTGACTTTGGACTCTGCTGGACTGAGGAAGAGTCAGTCTCATCCTTTATTAGGTTGCTTTTTTCTTTTCTTTTTCCTCTATGCCTTTTTGACAGAATCGAGAGGAATTGAAAGACTGTATTGTCTGTATTTTTCATCACAAAAAAAAGAGAACGTGTTTGTAATTTTGAATGCTGTTAAATAAACAGTCTCATGTCATCGTAAATGTCAAGTGAAATTGCCAACCGCTGTGGTGCTTTTCCGGTTTTGAGGATGAATTCGAATATTTCGGCTAATTAGTAAATTTTCATTGAACTATTTGAAATTACGCGAATGAATTTGAGGAAGAGCGTATAGAAATATAATTTGTTCAATAATTGTCCAAACACAACGTCATAAAACAGGTTAATTTAGGGTTAAATTAGACCTGACTTTTGGAGCAACAAGTTGAGCGGATAATATTGCATTTAACTCTAATCATTTTGATACACAGTAATATACTATTATAATGTTTTTTTTTTAATTCCCTCTGAGATCACTGGATGACACTCGCTGAATTAATGACGTAATGGGACAAAAATAAAGAATACTACAGTTTCAAAAATTTACAGTTTAAACTTTACATACTGTTTTTGCATCTTGATTACCTGCCTCAAAAAAAAAGATTACTTGCATCATTGGCTGCCACCTGCTGGCTATTAGTGGCATTGCAAAAACATGCTCTGGAGCAGTAATACAATCATGGCCATTCGTTTTCAAATAAAGATTTATTTTTTATGCAGTAATACCGGCGCCCGGCGGTAAACAATTTTTATTATAAAAGTAATGATACCTGTTCAGTTTTATTCCATTATTCACCATGCAGAAATGTATATGAGCCATTTTCCATAAACAGTGAAATAAAATCCCATGCAGTTACAAGCGTCATATCAACCGAACGGTCACTTGAGTTTAGTTGCTAATCACCTTTGTGTAATTAATGAACTGATACGCCGTTAAACCCAAGGTGAGAGTTTCATTGAGGGGATGTCTGTGATGGAAAGTGTTCGACTGTGTGTGTGTGTGTGTTCGTATAGGAGTCTGGAAGCGCTCCAGCCTTTGAGCCAGTAGGCAGGGACCCCCTTTTAAAGATGCCAGCGCTGTGTGTGTAAGCTGAGCTCAGACATTGAGCTCAGTTGTTTTATTCATGAACAGACACACGAGGAAGGGACAGAGAAGTAGTATTCCGAATAGGAGATGAAGCCAGGTACAACCGAAATCGACCGGCGAGACCCCTTGATAGGAATAAAGTATCCCAAATGTGTTTATTTCGAATTTGAGATGCTTGGTCTAAAATGGCCTAAATTGGCTTAAAAAGTTATTTCTGCTCTCCTTCCCCTTTCCTCTTTCTGTCTAAACACAGTTTAACAGAGTTGTTAAATGTTGAATGCCTTCTTAAGTAACTGGATCCGATCATCTGGGGGCTCCGTTAAAAGGGCCCCAGTGAGGGAAGTCAAGCGTAGACAATAGACTCTTGAGCTGTGCTCTACAAACACGCATTAAACTCCCTGACGCGTGTTTCTGGACGGCGCGGTCCGATATACGGCTTTCAACATGCCATGAAGGCATTTCAATATTTGATATACATTCGGTTGCTTTTTTGATCATTTGTGTATACTGAAGTAATGCTCCTTCATAACACTTAGAGGGAACGCTTTTTATAAAGTTAGTGCACAATGTAATATGGTAATAGTTACTGACCAATATCTCCAAACCCAAATCAGTCATGGGTTAAATTTTGGTGCTGTTTACTTAGGCTAGTGTCACTATTACTATTTCTCATACTGTTCTGTACTTTTAACTAGTGCAGGTAAGTATTTACCAAAGTCACTTGAAGGCACTTCTGCAAGGTTAACAAAAAAAAAGCATAACGCCTGCTAACGCTGTTACGCCGGGAAGGAGACCAGAGGCTTTTTTTTTTTAATGGATGTCAATAGAGGAGAGGCTTCACTATGCTAAATAAACTGCTTTTGAGGAAAAAACAATTATCTCCCAATAATAAGACCATCTCTAGTATTTACCTATCATCCACTAAGAATACCCTAGCATTCACATAGCAACATGCTAAAACTACTCAGAACAGCAGTAGCTCTTTTGACCACTACTACCATCCAACCTGGGGGCTGTACCATGATGGTAGTTGAACAAACTCAGGATTACAGGATTAGTTTCGAGTTGACAAAACCAAACCAATCCAACCAGGCTTTGTTGTTACTATGATGCTGATTATCAACATTCTCTGTCATCTCAGGCTTTGATCCTGAGTTTAGGTGTGACATCAGTGGCGAACAGCCAATCACATGCTTGAGAAAGAGTGAAACTGCGATTCATTTCTCGCGAGAGAAGCAGCGCGATTCACTTCTCTCTTCTGCAGAATATTACAAGATTGAAAAATTTAAACAAATTTACACAGCAAGAAGAAAATAGCTGTCTATGAAAGAGGACAATAATAATAACTGATAAACTAAAATTGTACATGTGTGATCGATTAAGGGTATATGTAATATCTAAAATCACACAAAATTATTATTCTAAATAAGCATTAGTAAAACGATTTTGTCTTTAAAAATAATTTGCTATGTAGTGACCTTTAATTTGGAGTAGAAACAGGTGGAGTGACTTTATCCTATCAGACGTGTCACTTTGCTCACAGCTGATTGGTCTACGTTCGGTTTGGAACCTCTTACCTGGAACATAACCTTCCCCCGGACCAGGTTAGCCGTGGAGTGGAAGTTACTATGGTGATGAACACTGCTAAAAGCCAAACCACTTTCATGGTGCCTAAAACCCAGGGTTGGCGCAAACTAAACAGAAACATACCTGGCTAGCCACCTAAACCGGCTTCTTGGTATAGACCCCAGGACACTATTCAGTTGCAACTAAATAGCAACATGCTAAAGCCCATCCAGAATACCTTCCTAGCTGAACAGAAACAACGTAGCATTGTGGCTGTTTTGATTCGGCTTAGTAAGCAAACAGAAGAGTAGCACCCTAGAAACCACATTGCAACTTGTTAAAACAACTTAGAACATCTTATCAACAAAATAGCTACAACACCCTCGCATTGCGGCTCTTATGACTTGGTCCAGGAAGCAAATGGCTAGAAACCTCATAGCAACATGTTAAAATGCATTAAAAAAAGTAATTTTGCAGCAACCACAAAGTAATGTGCTATAGTATCCAGCCATAACATCGTATACATCAGGATTTGTACTTTTAACTTGTGCAGGCAAGTAATTATCCTAGTGTAGTGGAAGCCAGCTAGTAAGAGCTGTACAAGGCTTCACTCCCCTGATCTCAAGAGGCGCACTAGCGACTGACGCTAGAGACTGTGGTCTTTAGTGTGCTTGTTAGCGTACCCACCTCCCATGCTGGCGATGCCAGTTCCAGTCCCTCTCAGAGCGGTGCGAGTAGAACCGGAGGGGTTACATTGGTGCCGCGACCCGGATGGGAGTGAGGTTTCGGGGTGAGTGTAACGGAGGCCAGCTACAGAGAGCTGTGCAGGTAAACCTCTCTCCCCTGGCCTCAAGATGTGCACTAGCGACTGATGCTAGACAGTGTGGTCTTTAGCGTCCTTATTAGCGCACCTGTCTCTAATGCCTGAGACGCCGGTTCGAGTCCCACTTGAAGTGGGGCTAGTAGGACCGGAGGGGTTACATTGGTGCCATGACATAGATAGGAGTGAGGATGAGTGTGGCCAGCTAGTGAGAGCTGTGCAGGTAAACCTCACTCACCTGATCTCAAGAGGCGTGCTAGCGACTGACGCTAGAGACTGCGGTATTTAGCGTCCTTGCGCACCTGCCTCCCATGCCGGAGATACTGGTTCCAGTCCCGCTCAGAGAGGGGCGAGAAGGACCACATAGCAGCCACATAGTAACGTGATCGTATCTATCCAGAACACCCTAGTGGCTATATAGCAACATGCTACAAAGCATTCAGAACATGTTAGCAACCATAGATACGTATATATATATATATATATATATATATACATAGATGCCTCATTAGTGGCTGTTTCTATGGGTCGCTTTATGTAAGCCATCCACCATATTGGAACGGTCAAAGCTGGTCTGTGAACATTCAAGAGTAAGTTGACTGAGAGTCTGCAACCATAGTTAGACGCATGTATGATTATCAATATGAAATAGACTTCAGCAGACGATTTTGCTAAACTAACACAATACAACAAGCTAACACAGCATTAAAAAGTTACCTTAGTTTAAAAACCTCTAATGCTGAGTTATTACCTACATATAAAAAACACAAACCATCACATTCTCACCTGTAAAAGGTTATCCCATTTCTTCGGGATTTAAATTTCAGCGGTCTCACAACCAGAATCTGGGCAATATTGTGGCATTATTGATTCTTACTGTGAGTGACGATACACTGTCCACCATCCAAGATGGTGGCGTGCTGACGTGTCTACCTATGTTAGCAACACACCAAAAACCACTCCGAACAGCAACAACATTGCAACCTTGCGGCTCTTTTGACTTGTTCCAGTAAGCAAACACCTAAAAACCTCATGGCAACGAACTAGAAAACATTTAGCAAATGATACAATACAATTAAAATTGCAATTGTGCAGCAACTCCCTAACATTATGATTAAAAACCACCCAGAATGGCAACAACATAGCAATTTTGACTCAGACCTCATAGCAACCACATAGCAACTTTAGAAAATCCAAAAAAGCTCTGTTCTGCATAATGTACAGACAGTTTCAATAAGAGCCAATCTGTAATTTGGGGTGTTATTTATTTGAATTCACTCAGGATTAGTTAGAAAAGTGTTAAATTTCACATCTCCACATGTATTCTGTGGCGATAAAACCTTTAGGTTGTCACACTGCAGGAATGCAACACTCCAATTACGTAATACACAGTATTGTGTTTCGTCCACAAAACTGACATACCCTCGTTTTATCTGAACAGAGGGACAGAGAGACACAAGACAAAGCAGCCGGAGAGGAGGGAGGAGGACAAGAGATATTTTGACTCCCAAAGGAGAAAGAAAGTGTATTTTGTGGATAAAGGCCCGTGTGCTTGTGTGGATCTGTGGGTGTGTGTGGTTGTGCGTCAGAGGGAGGCGTGTTGTGGTACGATCAGCTGTGTTGAGATGTGGACAGTCAGTCCGGCTCTGTTGCAGCGGGGGCCACATTACACTGGCTTCTCCTGAGTCCGGCTCCTCTTCAAAGCTCAAATACAGATCCGACTATGAGCCCACTTAGGGTAAGTGGACCTTCAAGCCTCAGATATTAAAAACTGTAATACATAAATAGTTTATTATGAAAGTTCATGTTAGGATACCTGTACAGATACTCTTCATACCTGTTGCTTGTTTTGTCTTTTTGCTGTTAGTCAAATTGCTTCATTTTTATTTTTTAATATTTATACAAATGATAAATTAGCCCATTTAAAACGTTTATAGTGTAGTTTTATTTATATTGAAATTGTTTTATTTTTAATAAAAACAAAGAATTTAAATGAAAATAAAATGCATTTAAAAGTACTTTGTAGTTATCAATAAGTTTTCACTCATTTTTGTACAATATAGTGAACTGACACTGTTGTTGTTGTCATGCTTTTATAATTTCTTGTTTTAAAAAGTCTTAGTTGTAAATTGTAAGAGAAATTAACAACAAATTATTTGAAAGAATCTGGAGAATCGAGAAATATGCATGAGTTGAGCATGTTTTTGTTAACAACTCAACAGCAATGATGGACATTTTGTCCGCCATGTTTAAGTCGACTGACCGTTGCTTCGTGTGAAACCTGAATCTTCATGGCAACTTTGGCTGGGTATTACATCACATCTTTAAATGCTCTGGTCTTTTTTTGGTTTTAAGATTGGCATTTTCTTAATTTTAACATAAACTAGTGCTGTCAAATCGATTAATCGCGATTATTCGCATCTAACATATACGTTTGTAAATACATATATGTGTGTGTGTATAAAAAACATATGTTAGATGTGATTAATCGTGAATAATCGATTTGACAGCACTAACATAAACAGAATTTAGTTAATACAATTTAATTACATTTCATTAATAGTGACCGCATTCCTCAATCGTCATCTCTTTGTGTGTGTTTTTGTTTGATTTTGCATGACTGTGCAGTATTTGAGGGCTGGGCAAGTGTGAGATGCTTTCACAAAGAACAGACATTGAAGCGTCTGAGGCAACAGCTCTAGTGCTGATCCCTGTATTAAAGCCAGACATCCATGGGATTTTCACTAACAACAGCCATTTACACTGCCTGAAATTACTTGTTTGAGGTCGTGCATGTGTGTTTGTTTAAAAAAAAGCAGTGAAAAGGTTGTCAAATAGGAACAGACCAAACCTTAGAGTCCTTAGAATTAATATTAAGGGTAGTGGGCATGACTGATGCAGTTCGATTTATTTAAAGATTGTATTCTAAATATTTCACATTTATGTTGATAAAATTATGGTCAATGGTTTGTTACTTTTATTATTTAAAATTGCAATGTTACTGATAAAATCAAGATTTTCTTTAATGTGCCTGCCTCTAATGCATTATATTAAAGGCTTAAATGTTATTGTATTTTAAACATATTTAATGAACTGTGTGATTCATTTTAATATTATTTTTCTCTGCTTATGTCAGAGACGATTAATTTATTCTCTCTCTTTATTCAAAAACAGGAGACGTCTAAAAAATGACAGAACGACAGATGGCTTCTTCTGAAAGGAGCCTACGTAAGTTTATATTAAAAACTTTTACATTTTCACATTCTCAAAGTGTAAACATGTAGCCACACTTTTGAGATGATATGAAAGTTAGTTCATCAGTTTTGGTAGATCTTGTCTTCAGATGTCTCCACAAACATTTGGTCCAGACTAGGAAAGCTTGATAAAAGGGCTTGATTGTATCTCGTTTTGCATATAAAATGCAAAGTATTAAAGACAAGTCTAAATAGTTCCAGTAGCTCAATTTGTAGATTACAGGATTACACTTTATTTCGATAGTCCTCTTCAGACATTCTAATAACTATAAGTAACTTTGCTACTACATGTCAAATAACTCTCATTCATTTGTAACTACATGTCAACTGACTCTCATGAGAGTATTGGTAGACTGTTAGGTTAAGTTTAGTAGAATAAGTTGACATAGTTTCAGATTTACTTATAGTCAGTAGAATGCCTGTTGGGGTAGCATCAAAATAAAGTGATTTTAAGTAGACAGTCTACTAATACTCTAATGACTGGTAGTTGACATGTTGTTGCAAAGTGGAAGTAAAGTGTTTCTGGTGCTAGCGACACACTAAGTTACAAGGACTGCTAAGATGTGTGCATAAACCCATCAAACGTACAAAACGAGGATTCATTATCTGGTCATGAGAGACAGAGGTGTTTTAGTGTATTTTGTTTTCATGATGTACTGTGAATCTGGGTCAGGTGCATTACCTGTCGTCTGACCCCTCCTCGCCCTCTTCGTCTCCTGTACGGTCTTGCTCCTCAGGTATCCAGGGTGATGACAACCTGAAGTCCATGATCGTCGGCACAGTGATGAGAAAAATCAAGTCTCGCACATGGAAAAAGCAGCGTTATTTCCGGCTACAAGAAGACTGCATGACTATATGGTACAAGAGCAAGAAAGCTGGAAATGCCCACTCCACCTGTAAGTAGAGCTAACAAGGCTGAAATCCACAATCTGTAATTATTAGTCATTTATCCAAAGCAATGGATGTATTAAAATCCCATAGGCAGGGAGGGGTCCAATCCTTCTCCTTGAGGGCCACCTTTTTGCAGGGGGTAGCTCCAACACATCTGGCTGGAAGTAGTGACTCTGAAGACCTTGATTAGCTGGTGTAAGAAAAAATGATGTGGATGTCAAAGATTTCAAAAATGAAGTTTATAACAGCATAGCAGTGGCAAGGTACACGAAGCACCTTGGGTTCACCGGCGTCAGAATGAACCCCAGAACATCCAAATCTTAAACCTTTTATCCTGTTACAGTTTACCACTCGTAATGTAAATGAAGTTCCGCCTTAAATGTAAATTGAGGATAACAATGAAAGTGATAGCCTTCTGTTCCCACATCTTCGATATTCTTTCAAATAAGAACAGCCAAATGTTAAGGTGATAAGATTGTTTAAAAATCCCTGTATTCAGGATGGTTCTTTTTTTTTTTTTACCGCTGCCGCTCCCACGCTATAAGTGATAATATATCACTCCGGTGATACTATTTACATATTACTGAGATTCGGAAGAAATTGTCTCGATAATAAATAAGCTCTTTTTAGGGAAGGAGTATATTTAAATGTATATATTGGAGTGGAAGTTGGATCGGAGAGGACTATAATTCCTTACACTGGTTTAGGTGTGTTTAATTGGGGCTGGAGTAAAACTCTGCTGGAAGGTGGCCATCCAGGAGCAGGATCGGACACCCCTGCAATAGGAGAAACCTGAGCTTAAGTGTCTAACTTAAGGTCACAATGGTGATAGTACATGGATTGATTCTTCCTGTGTTTCTATAGCAAGCCTAGAACAAGTACACCATCACCCTAGACAGAAATATATATATAATAACAGCTTCATACAGAACAGTGATTTCAGAACCTCTAGACCAGGGGTGTTCACTTTTGTCCCTGGAGGGTCAATGTTAGGCTAAATCCGAAATCACCCCCTAAATCCTCAATAACTATTGCCAAAACACCGTTTGTTTCTAGTTATTGCAAATACCTTGATTAGCCTGGTGATACCTAGAAATACCTAGTTCAGGTGTGTTTAATTAAGGTTTGAACTAAACTAGGATATTGGCCCTCCAGGACCAGGATTGGGTACCTCTTGCTCAGTCTAGACAAGGTGTAGTGTTTTACTGAGAGTCAGCCAAGTTTTGATCTTGTTGTTGTTGTTTTTTTGGTACGGACATCTCTCGAGACCAACTTAATGTGGCATTGGTCTGGGTCTGGGCCTTGATGGGTCAGAAAAATGGTATGGTCTTGACTCTAACTCTAAGGGTTTGTCCCTATTTAGATAGCTATTGTTTATGTGTGTATATAGTTTCTGTGGGTGATGTGGAGGCCGTGCGGGAAGGGCATCAATCTGAGGTTCTGCTTAGCATTGCTGACGAGTTCCCACCTGACCGCTGCTTCACCCTTGTGTTTCGTGGTCGACGAGGCAACTTGGACCTAGTGGCCGAATCAGCAGAGGAGGCACGATCATGGATAAATGGGATACGCAAACTCATCGATAACCTGGAGAACATGGGGCAGAGAGAGAAACTAGACCAGTATCCTTTACTGTGACTTTATCTATCTGTCTATCATTCCGCTCTCTGTCCATCTTACACACACACAGACACACACACACAGGCTAAATGCCATTAAAAAGACACTTAAATACACTGGGACAGCAGCATTTCTGATGTCCTCAAGATTCTTAATTTACCTGGATTGAAGTCCAAGTCCCTGAAATCAGATTATAGTTGTCCTACTTTGGTAAATCATGTGTCAGCACTTTGGTTTCCCCTTAATGCTGTTTCCAGATGGATATGTGATTGGTTCAAAAAAGCAGACAAAAATAGAGATGGGCAGATGAACTTTAAGGAGATCAGAGATCTGCTGAAGATGATGAACGTGGACATGAATGAGCATCATGCTCTCCGTCTCTTTACGGTAACTGCACTTTCATGGCCAGCCTATGGTTACACTGCTTGATATAGCTTCAGTTCAATTATGGTTTTGACACTTGACACACTTGAATCATTATTTGGTGATCCATTTCCAGCCAGTTGTTTGTATTTGTACATTTTAGAGCTTCTCTTGTTCTGCAGATGGCGGACAAGTCTCAGTCAGGTACTCTTGGAGACGATGAGTTTGTGCTGTTCTATAAGATGCTGACTCAGCGTGAAGACATCCTGCGAGTGTTTCAGGAATATTCAAGTGATGGGCAGAAGCTAACACTCCAAGATCTGAAAGATTTCCTGCTGGAGGAGCAGCTTCACGAGGATGGAGTTCAGCAGTATGCACTCAATCTCATTGAACGCTATGAACCTTCAGACACAGGTAATTCATTTTGTGATGAAGCATAGCTAACAGAGTTGTACTTGTCTTGCTGAAGTTTCTTCAAAGCTTATGTTGTTTGCATTTTACGTCACACTTGCCATTGATCTGTTCTGGTCATCTTTGGTGGTTTGGCCTCTTGTTCCAAAAAATCATTAACTTTCAAACTCAAACTTACTAACTTTTAGTTCCAGGTATCGTAATGCTGTGTTCTTCTTGACTCCAGCAAAAATGTTGCAAGCAATGACATTTGATGGTTTCCTGATGTACCTGAGCTCATCAGAGGGCTCCATCTTCAACCCTACCATGGTGGAACTGTCCCAGGACATGACTCAGCCTCTCTGCCATTACTTCATTTCATCTTCTCATAACACATACCTTCTGGAGGACCAAATCAGAGGACATAGCAGTGTGGAAGGCTATATACGGTACACATGTTCTTAAAAAAATCAAGTAGACATTTCCTAATCCATAAAACACACCATCCGCAGGCTTTTCCATGTTAGTATAAGCATTTATCTGGTATAAAAGATACGGATGGAGCAATTCTTCATATATTCATAAACATTAACTTGTATGACTGTTTCAGAGCACTGAAACGTGGCTGTCGATGTGTAGAAGTGGACTGCTGGGATGGACCAAATGGAGAACCAATCGTCTACCATGGACATACGTTTACCTCCAAAATCTTCTTCAAGGATGTTGTTACTGTGCTGAGCAACTATGCCTTCAAAGTATGTCACAAACTATGTTGATTCACTCTTTCACAACTGCAAGTTCCTAACAAAAAAGAACTGTGGTGGTACCATGGTATAATGATGTTATCATATGGTAATACCACAGTACTTTCAAATATGATATTCAAATACTATGGTATTTACATGATTTTCTAATGTACATCAAGGAATACCATGGTATAATAATGCAAACATCATGTCATTAACAAGGTACTTTTTAACTTAAAAAAAGTATAGTGATGGTAATGCCATGGTACTTTGATTTATATACCAGGGAGATTGAAGGTTCTTCAAAGAAAACCAAGGTATTAGTATTAGTACCATGGTATATTTTTAAATACCATAGTTTAACCATCTGATTCTATCACTAAACTATGGTGCCACAGTACTTTCTTTTGTAAGGGGATGGTATCTGATATAAATACCAAGTTTGATATAAACGTGGTATAATCTTAATACTTTTTATAAACCTCTTGGTTTCTTTCTTTATCTCTTCATCTTTAATCTTTCTAAACCAGGTTATAGTACTGTACTTGCTTGCATTTTTGTGTGTGTGACAGACTGGGGCCAGGGCACCATGCCCTTCTGTTTGTGTGTAATGTGATCTAGGGCAGTCGACCCCTGCCTGGCAGTGTGTTAGCCGTTGTTTTCTGTCGAGTGTTCCATTTCACTCCATCACTTATTCACTCACTCTCCCCTCCTCAGGCATCGCAGTACCCTGTCATCCTGTCCATTGAGAACCACTGCAGTGTAGAGCAGCAGAAAGTCATGGCCCAACACCTCACCCAGATCCTGGGAGACAAGCTGCTGAAAAGCACTTTAGATGGAAAGATTCCCATCGGCCTCCCATCCCCTGAGGTGAGCCGGAGAGCATGGATGCATGTGGTCAGTTATACAAGTACTTAACAAGTCCACTTAATTGGAATGCTTAAGTGGCAGTCAATTTCATTCATTTTGAAGTGTCCTCGGCAAAGATCTTGAAGTTTCCACTAGGGGTGGGAATCTTTTACCATCTCACGATTCAATTCGATTCCGATTCTTGAGGCCACGATTCGATTCAAAATCGATTTTCGATTCAAAAAGATTTTCGATTTAAAACGATTCGATTTTATCCATAATGATTTCTAATCGGGTTTCTGATCATGATCTACTCTCATCTGCTTTGCTATACAGAATGACAAACGGAGACCAGTGTTTCCTCTAGGATTTTTTCCAGCTGTTGGCAGGCCCATTTCGCCAGGGGGAGGGGGCGTTGCCCATGAGTGATATTCCCATTGGCCACGCCCCCTTACCCCAGGTGTTTAAACCACCCCTAAGCATTATAACATTATAACATGAAAGGCTCGAATAAGAGCGGTAAAGCGATTATGCGCAGAATGATGCACTTGAAGCAACGCGAAGTCACAGCGCGCAGCGCTCCGGATTGAAAAGTTCAAAGCACAAAAGAAGAGATTATATCTGTCTATCTATGCTTAATGTATTATATATATGCAACGGTTTATTGAGCATTTTCTTTTAACAGTTTTTAAATTTCAGTAACAGTGCGCATGAAGACCAATTCATAGCGCTCTCCAGTGCTGTAATCTAACAGACACCCGGGTGAAAGGATTATGATTTAGAAAACGCTATAACGCGACGCGCTGTGTGAATGCTGAATGGAGAATGACTGAGGAGAGATGAGTTTCTATTAACTTTAACTAACGACTTAAATATTCATTTTTACCTCACATTATGCTATTGAATGACTTTAGAAGTCTTGGAATATAGTGCGAACACTTTATGGTGCTTTACAATGTTTTTTATGCCTTTAGCTTAACAATAACACAATAGTATAGCCTACACATTAATATCGGACCTCACTGAGAAGCTGCAGCCGTGGCGGGATTATTTTAGGTGTGGCGGCCGGCCACGGCAGATGAATGTAGAAGCATCATATTTAAGCATCAGAAGCTTCATAGAAGCATCCATATTTGCTTCCTCTGATTTGCCGCTCACGTTCAAAAACCGACTGCGTGCATGACGTCCGGACGTCCCTTATAGGCTATAGTTACAAAAATGGAGGCGAACAGCCAGCTGATTTTATTTATTTATTAAATCGATTCTTGGACATATCAGATCGATTCTGAATCGTTGCAAATGAGAATCTAGATTCTTCTCTGAATCGATTTTTTGGCACACCCCTAGTTTCCACCCCACAAGCAGACGTGTGTATCAGAGTTCAGAGTGCAGTGACCTCTCCATGATACATTCACTTTCTCCGGCTGTTTACCTGGGGTGGCAGCCATATGATCTATGTCCATGCAACCCAGCCACACTTAATTATTAAAGCAAACAACAATCCCCCCCACCCCCTTTACCAATTCAAAATCGATTCATAGAAATCCAAAAATCGATTCATATATATATATATATATATATATATATATATATATATATATATTTTTTTGGAATGGCGTGCAGGGGCGGAGTGGCAATCGGGAGAGTCGGGAATTTTCCCGGTGGTCCGGTATGTTTTGAGGCCGCGAGGGCCGGTCTGATAATAGTTATACATTGCAAGTTCTAAGCAACTCCATCCGGCGACCTGGTGTTTGGCCGCTGCCCGCTGCCCGCTGCCCGCTGGTCAAACTGTGCAGCCTATCTGCTCAACCCGTAAATAAATCCATCGATCCGCATATTTTGTTTGAGTTCTTAAATGGTCTAGTGGTAGATCTTTTGCCAAGCGTGTCAGAAGTTACAGGTTCTAATCCGCACTCGTATAGGTTTTTTTTCTCTCTCATCAAAACCGAATATGTTCATCAGTGGTTACAGTCTCTCTCATCAAAACCGAATATGTTCATCAGTGGTTACAGTCTCTCTCATCAAAACCGAATATGTTCATCAGTGGTTACAGTCTCTCTCATCAAAACCGAATATGTTCATCAGTGGTTACAGTCTCTCTCATTAAAACCGAATATGTTCATCAGTGGTTAGTTACAGTCTATATCAAGCAGGGACACGTTTGTGTCCATTTTATTTTGTGATTTCACCGGAATGTATAGAGACTCGAGTCTCCGCAACGGCGATAGATTGAAGAGCGCGTCTGAGTGAAGACTGTACGCGAGCCACAAGAGAACAACTGTATCCATGCAACTGATAGCAACGGCAATGAGCGCTCAGCTTGATTTAAAAACAACAGATTTAAGCATTAGATCTCTTCTTTAATAGCGAACTAAATGAATGCTCTGCTAGTTAACTGGAGATGTTTTATTTATTTGTATTAGGTACATCCGTGCAATGTTTCAAAAAGTGGTGGGGGACAATATCAATCGGGGTGGGGACATGTCCCATCCGTCCCAGCCGCAAATTACGCCTATGACACGACTTCACTGGATCTAAACAAATCAATATAACCATAGATGTTACCAGAAGCGGTGGCTTTTTTAATCTATTTAAAATAATTTTGCAAGGGTTCTATGACATTAGTATATTTTTTAGGAATGCAATTGTCTACTGCAATCAATCACATAGGAAAAAGTAAACTACATTTACATACTGTGAATCGTTTTTTGAATCGAGAATCGTTTTTGAATCGAAAATCGATTTTGAATCGAATCTTGAGCCTAAAAATCGTTATCGAATCATGACATTTTCTGAATCGTGCAACCCTACTAGTTAAGAGGTCTGGTGGGGATACCTGCACACCACCATCGTCATTTCAGCAGGGTCTAACCAGAAGCGCCATATCAAGATCTAGCTGTTAGCCACTAGCAGCACTTAACTGAACATCATTGTCTTCCTGGTAAAGCGAATTGACTAAGGCAGTCTTACTGTTTTAGGTCCAAATTCATTGATTCCTTTAAAAGAGATACATTCCTAATCGACCAACCACTAGTCAGCCTAGGGCCTAGCCTAGCTTTTAGTAGTAATTTCTAGTTTGTGTGTCAATGTGTTCACTGGAAAAGAGTTTTCAGATTGTTGCTGATGAAAGTGTATCCTCTCCATATTTGTGTGTGTGTAGGATCTGAAAGGGAAGATTCTGTTGAAAGGAAAGAAGATAGGTGGATTAGAGGATAGCATGAATGGGGTGGTGGATGACCCTTTGACAGGAGAGGTGAGCGATGAAGAGGAGACTGCTGAAATTGATGATGACCATCATCGCACTGACAGCATACGACATAGAGGCAAGGTACAGTGATACTTTCAAATCATATTAGCCAAGTGGGCAAAGATCTGAACTGGTAACAGAAAAGTTGTAAGTTTGAACCCAATCAAATGTAGATACATGAACTATCAAAAGGAAATAATGTTAAAAATAATGGGCCATATCTAGAGTACAATTTCTTTAGCTACTGCATGTGCCAGTGTGGATTGTAAAATATTGACCGTCGGACTTGTCTCACTAGTAGTTTATCAGGTCTTCACCAGAGCTCTGCTGAGTCCTCAAGCAAGAGTTTCAGTCTGCCTAGACTTTAAAGGGTTAGTTCGCCCATTTAAGACATGAAGTTGTATGCAATCCTTACCAGCACTATAGTGCATACACACTGACCCACTCTGTTGTCACCTCCCTGGTCAGAGTTCTGGCCGCTGGAAGTTTTTCAATAAAGTACTCCCGGTTATTTTCCGGTGCCACAAAACTGTGCGTTTTTACGTGAAAAAATTATTTGCGTTTCAAAGCTTGATTAATTTACCACACAAAAAACACGCCGGTCAAAATTCATACCTCAGTTTTAATCGGCACTATTTTCTATCCATTTCTATCAATCCGCGCTGCTGTCAACGTCAACAGTTCGCACGTTCCGATCAGCTGTTGATAGCGCGACTCGCTGACAACAGCGAGGATTGATAGAAATGGATAGAAAATAGTGCCGATTAAAACTGAGGTATGAATTTTGACCGGCGTGTTTTTTGTGTGGTAAATTAATCAAGCTTTGAAACGCAAATAATTTTTTCACGTAAAAAGGCACAGTTTTGTGGCACCGGAAAATAACCGGGAGTACTTTATTGAAAAACTTCCAGCGGCCAGAACTCTGACCAGGGAGGTGACAACAGAGTGGGTCAGTGTGTATGCACTATAGTGCTGGTAAGGATTGCATACAACTTCATGTCTTAAATGGGCGAACTAACCCTTTAACCACAAGATTAGAATCTACTTATGTAACACCTGTTGAACACACTCCTTTGTTTGGATCATCCATGGAAACTTCCACTTCTCTGTTCTGGGCTGTAAGCAGTTTACCTAATGTAGACCAGCTTGTCTAATGTTGAAGGTAGCAAAATATTCTGACTGACAAGAGTTGCACAGTGGCCCTGAAAACGAGCTGATTACATAAAGCACTAATGAAAGTTGAATGGGGTTAGAGTGAAGCAATCTTGGGAAGGAAGTACACAAACAAACAAGAAAATGCAAGAGAGAAAGTCGCAGATAGATAAGACAGAAACGGCGTGTCTTCTGTGGTCCTCTGCCATCTGATAGGTGGCCATGTGCACTTGCTGGCACTGCTGTTACCATGCGACACTTGATTCTTTGAACTCTGGTTAGCTGCAGTCAGGGATCCCCCATCTTGGTTTCTCCAGAGATAGTCAACTTGTTGACTTGTCAACTGGAACATTTTGTCATGTTATGTTTAACATTTAATTTGATCATTAACACTGCTCTTCAGACTCAGTCTTGTCAGATAACTGATTTAGGCTAATTACTAATAATTATTTAAATGCCACATTTATCCCAGGTGACTTACAGAACCCTTCCTACAGGGATAGTCCCTCTGGAAGTGTCTTGCTCAAGGGTACAATTTCAAAGAATTAACCCTTACTGGCTTTGAACCTACAACTTTTGGTTACCAGCCCAGATCAAGGCTACGCCACCCTAGGCACGTTGAATATCATGTTAAGATGGCACAGCAGGTTAGCAAAGACAAACCCAACAAATGGAAGTGTAAGATGAAGCCAGGTGGATACCGGTCCTTATTACACATGGGCCGTCTGTCATGACATTGTCTAAGTAGTCCTGTGTTGAATTAGCAGAATTGAATGCTTGCAGTAAAACCACATCATTCAATTTAGCTAGTTGACTTCTCAAAACACCACAGCCATGTCGAAAGGTTTTAGAAGCTGTTAGGCTAGTTAAAAACAGTTAAAGGGATACTCCACTTTTTTGGAAATAGGCTCATTTTACAACTCCCCCAGAGGTAAACTGTTGAGTTGTACCATTTTTGAATCCATTCAGCCGATCTCCGGTTCTGGCGGTACCAGTTTTAGCATAGCTTAGCTTACATCATTGAAGTGGACAAGACCATTAGCATTTCTAAAAAAAAAAATGACCAAAGAGTTTCGATATTTTTCCTATTTAAAACTTGACTCTTCTGTAGTTACATCGTGCACTAAGACCGACGGAAAATGTAAAGTTGCGATTTTCTAGGCTGATATGGCTAGGAACTATACTCTCATTCCTGCGTAGTAATCAGAAACTTTACTGCCGTACCATTGAGTGCAGCAGGCGCAGGCACTTAGTCCCGGTCACGTTGGAAGTTACCGAGCTGGGGACTATTTTCAGGCGCTGCGTCATATCATTACGTCTGCTGCACTCATGGTACGGCAGTAAAGTTTCTTGATTACTACGCAGGAATGAGAGTATAGTTCCTAGCCATATCAGCCTAGAAAATCGCAACTTTACATTTTCCGTCAGTCTTAGTGCACAATGTAACTACAGAAGAGTCAAGTTTTAAATAGGAAAAATATCGAAACTCTTTGGTCATTTTTTTTTTTTAAATGCTAATGGTCTTGTCCACTTCAATGATGTATGCTAAAAGTGGTACCGCCAGAACCGGAGATCGGCTGAATGGATTCAAAAACGGTAAAACTCAACAGTTTAACTCTGGGGGAGTTGTAAAATAAGCCTATTTCCAAAAAAAGTGGAGTATCCCTTTAAGACTGACAAAATTAGCTATTTTGAGTTCTTAGTAAAGACGGGTGCATATTGTACAATTTATAATAGCCTTTATAACCTTTACGACTGTTGCTAGTCAGACTGTATGTACATGATCCCCGCTGTAAGCGATATCTCAGTGGGATCTCAGTTGTCATTAAAATCAGAATGTACGTCAAGAAGCATTAAAAATGGATGCACGCAAGAAGACTTATCCAGGGTTTTACATCACCAGTCCATGACACGTTCAGTGACGTGAGCTGCATTACATGCGGGATTTAAATGGTGGCTAGCAAACAAAAACAATCTCTAGCATTACTTTTGATCATGGCTTCTCTAGAAAAGAAAACATGAAAAAAACAAAGACGATGTAGAGCAAGGTAGCGGTTTGTTGTTGTCTCACTAATTGCGTCAGGTTTGACACTCCTATTGGTTTTTGATTTGACGGTTGTCCGAGTGCTTTCTGGCCCCTCAATTTCTTCTCGTCTGCGTCAGTCTCCTATGCTGTTTACGTTGTAAACACAGTGCAGCACTTCCGGGTTCTAGGTCAGAACGCCGGCTCAGTATTGGCCTGCTCCTGGGTCAGCACCACACACGCATCGTGGTGCTCACGTGAACACCGTTGGAAACTGACACGGAACGGAAGAAATTGTTGAATGAAGTAGTTATTTTAGTTTTTTGCGCACAAAAAGTATTCTCGTCGCTTCATAACATTAAGGATGAACCCACTGAAGTCACATGGACTATTTTAACAATGTCTTCACTACCTTTCTGGGCCTTGAAAGTGGTAATAACGTTGCAGTCAGCAAGCTCTCGGATTTCATAAAAAATATCTTAATTTGTGTTCCGAAGATTAACGAAGGTCCTACGGGTTTGAAACGACATGAGGGTGAGTAATTAATGACAGAATTTAAATTTTAGGGTGAACTAACCCTTTAAATGGCTTAAGCTGGTGTTCAGCTGGGTTAGCTAGTTGGCAAGCTTGCCTCAAAGGCCTGACCAGCTGACAAGTGCCCGCACCCCCTTTAAAATATCACAAAAGATAAGCCTGATCCGTGGAAAACCAGAAAACCACTTAAGGCTAAGAAAATGAAACAAATGTGGAACTGTCAAACTGAACTGAAGGACTGTTTTTGTACCGTCTAGAAATCCAAGAAGCGTCTGTCTAAAGAGCTGTCCGACTGTGTGGTTTACTGCAAGAGTGTCCACTTTAGCAGCTTTAAACATTCACGAATACACTCCAAGTTTTACGAGATCTCCTCCTTCACGGAGTCTAAGGCCCGGAAACACATAAGGGAGGCAGGTAAAGGAAACATGAGTCTGACTGCTTATAACAGCTCATCAATTATTATTTTTAGAGAATTGTATTGTCTTACTTTGTCTCTGTGCTACAGGAGCAGAGTTTGTTCTCCATAACGCTCATCAGTTGAGCCGGGTTTACCCCAGTGGCTTGAGAACTGACTCATCCAACTTCAACCCACAGGACATGTGGAACGCAGGGTGCCAAATTGGTAAGCCTACCTGAGACTAAGATATGTTTCTTGAGAGCTTTCATAGAATATTTTTAGAATATTCTCTATTGATGAACATAGCACAACTGTCTATTAGCATAATACAGATGTGATTAATTTCTACTTGTTGGGTCATACTTGTTATGTACAAGGAATTAGTCTTACAAGTCTTTTGAAAATACAGATTTAAACAGCCTAGCTTTAACCAAGTGGTGTGCTGGTTTTAGCTAGCAATCAAGCTGGTTAGGTTAGCATAGAAATTTTAGGCACTTATCAGCTAGGTCAACTAGGAGACCAACTGACCAACTGGTTAAACCAGCTAAACACCACCAACCTGACCAGGCTGGGAAACCAGCTAAACCATCTTAAACCCAACTAAGAATAGCAAACAATCATAGGATGGCTTAATATAGAATATTCAGTTGATGAGCATTGCTAGTTAGAGTAACTAGCCAAGACATCACAAGTATAACAGCTTAAATTGTCATGCTTTTTCCATGAAAATGGAAAATGTTCAACTAGGAAATGTTTTATGCAGGATCTTTTACTACGGAATAATAAACATTTTATTGCTAAGTGTAGCCGTCTCTTCTTTCTCTTCTCTTCTCTTCTCTTCTCTTCTCTTCTCTTCTCTTCTCTTCTCTTCTCAGTTGCTCTGAACTTTCAGACCGCAGGGGTTGAGATGGATCTAAACGATGGCTTATTCAGTCAGAACGGGCATTGTGGCTACGTACTGAAACCAGCGTTCATGCGCAACATTGATGAGAGGTTTGACCCAGAAACCCCCCAAAACCGAGATGGTTACAATCCGCTTAGCCTGTCTATACAGGTAGAAACCTGCATTTCTGTGCATGTGCTGGTCTTAGATAACGTGTGTATATGTTAAACTTGCATTGTGTGTTCATTCCAGGTCATCAGTGGCCAACAGCTTCCCAAGGTAAACATCAAGGAGGGCTCAATTGTTGATCCCCTCGTTCGGGTGGAAATTCATGGCATACAGCTGGACCAAGCCAAGCAGGAAACCAGATACATTGACAACAACGGTCAGTTAAAATGTATAGGACTGAGTTAAGTCTAGACTGAGAAAGTCTAGACGTAGTTAAAACAGAGATCTTGTTGCATTCAAAAGACTAAACAAATCTTGTTTTTGAGCTAATGGTTTTCAATGGACATGCACTAAGATCTACTGTGTAAAACTGGTGAGGTCACTGGTATATCTTATTTTAGCTTATTTAAATATAAGTTATTATTTATATAACAATTATAGAACATTTTGAAAAATTGTAGCTGTACAGTAGAACAGCATGTTGTGCACTGTTAATGCTTGAAATTTCATGTCAACAACCTATTTGTCTCTGCAGGTTTCAACCCGGTATGGTACGACATGCTTCAGTTCACCGTTCACGCCCCTGAGTTGGCGCTGGTTCGGTTTGTCGTGGAGGACTATGATAAAACATCAAAGAACGACTTTGTGGGACAGTTCACTCTCCCTTTCACCTGTATTCAACCAGGTACGTCTCCATTCCACCAAATGCATCAAAAATGTATCCTCCGTGGAGCTGCTGTTAATCCTAAATAAGCACGTTTTGTTCTTCCTCATAGGATATCGTCACATCCATCTCCTGTCTAAGGACGGCACCAGCATACCTCCTTCCTCGCTTTTTGTTCACGTGCGGATAACTAAACTAACGTAAAGCAAAGAGACTGAATTTAATGCTGTCTTACATTGACACGTGCACAAAAGAAGCAAAAATGCAACAATTTCAAGTCTTCCCAGTCAACACTTGTTTGCAGAATGCTGACATCATAATGAATACAATTTTAAAAATGTATTAAAATTCACACTTTTAAGGTAAAGTTGTGTTGCTATAGATTTAGTTCATTTATACGCCAAATAATTTTATAGTTATTTTATTTACTTTAAAGATTTGTGTGATTTTCTATGTCTAAGTTCAACTTCAATGAGATACATGTCCAGGTTGTATTTTAACCTCGAAATCAAAAGAAAAACAACAAGATAATGAAGCTTATTTTGGTTTGTTTCAAGGACTAAAATTTAGGGTACGTTACACGACAACGATGTACTAAAAACGGAAAAGTTTTTCCTTCACTTTTTTTCGCATACAGACGACAGTGTTGTCAAAATGATCCCCGTTCACACGGATCTGTGAAAAGGACTAAAACCGCTGTATTATCATGTCAGGCCAGTAATTCGCAACGTTACTTTGTAAAGAAACACCTCACGCCTATAGACTGAACATGTAATACGCATGAGCATGACGTCACCGTTTTCACTAATTCACGTTTTTGTAGTTTACATGGAGACGATAATGATATCGGTTTCAAAAACTTGCACTTTGAAATTCGTTTTCAAAAGTTTGAGTTTTCAGGCTCCCAAAAAGCTGTTGTCGTATAAATTAACGGCCAAAAATGCATAGTTTTCCGTTTTTAGATGAAAATTGTCGTGTAAACAGCCCCAAAGCCCCATATATATCATATGAGATTCCCCCTCTCTTATTGTTACCATGCATGGCAAGTCTTTATATCTTGCTTTTTGTATTTTTAGAAACATTTTAATAGAAAAGGCTTGGTTCTTTATTCGTACGACTATTTCAGTAGTACTTACAGTGGTGTGTGTGTTAACTGCTCCTTTGGAATAAAGAACAGAGATAATGGGCACCAGGGCTCAATTACAATCTTCCTTTGGCCCCGAAGTACCTCAGGGGCCAGACTCAGTTACACAGAGATACAGAAGGCAGTGAAAATGACCCCGTCTGTACCCAGCTCCACCTACCTGGATACAGTATACTGTATACATTTCAAAATATTAAAATACATATACTCTTAAATGCATCACCTTTCACCTAGCATGTACAGAGAATTATTCTGAATCATGTCAAGTCATTTGTTAAATCAAATGTATGCTGCTGGACTAATAGTGTTATTTTTTGTAATTCTAAGCTTCGTATGAGCCGGATCTATACTGTTTTTGTAGCATTGCTCAGTAACTAACTGTAAACTGTCTGTTTTGCTTGTATATATTTATGTATTTGCCATATTCTTCAAAAAATAAAGATATTTTAAAGGACTTCCTGTTTCTGTTGCTAAAACAAGCTCCAGTTTATACCAATTTTTAAATGATAAAACAACGTGGTAAGAATGAGAAGACTAAAAATTATGAATTACATCAAACAAACAAGTCTAAGATGGTTTCTTAGCATGTTCAGACTGGTCTAGGAGGGTTTTTGGGAACTTGTGCTGGTCAGGTTGATAGACCCCAATGTTGCTAACCAACTTAAGTCTAAATGTAGCCTATATTTAAAAAGTACTTAAATAGCGGGACAATGTTAGAATTATGTTTAATACGTTAAAGTATGGGAAAACGGACATTAGCTACAGTAAAGTTGCTTCATCACGGTTCGGTTAAAGTTAAATTTCTTATTTTTTTGACATTAGATATGTGCCTTATGCTACAGTTTGTGTTCGTTGATTAAGTTTTGTTTGTTGTTATACCTGAACTATACCTGAACATTTTCAATTTCAAGTGTAGAGTAGACGATCCTCAACGACGACCTGAAGAGGACTTTTGACGGAACTTGTCTTCCGTTTCATTTTTACCCGGACAAAATTAGCTGTAACGCCAAACAAACAAGTAGTCACTTTTAACACGTGCGGGTCATTTTCTGTATGTTTGAGCGTTGTATACACATAAAAAATATATCAAAATCACATATAGTGAATCAGAATGGTGGGGAAAATTAAACGGATACGACAGAAGCTCCATCACGGCGCTGTAAAGCTGGAAAATGAGCATGAAAACAGACCCATGCTGGGGAATCTGGAGAAGATAGCGATCCAATCCATTCAACTCACAAAAACAGATTCACGACAGCCCAAAACCAACACATCTGACAGTAGTATTAGCAATAGTTCAAAGGTATGGCTATTTATTTGTGATTCCATTTTCAAAAGCTATTAAATAATTTCACATCATGTCAGTGCCATATACTGTATTCCCAGTGTAATTTCTCCTCAGATGAGCTGTCCTAAATGAGATCGTTATTCAGCTTCATGTGTTTTCCATGTAGGCTTTCAGTTTTCCCACTGGAGTTTTTGCTGGAACTAAAATCTCCCCCGACTCTTTAGTTCAAACACTGAAGGTTGATGAACCATCAAATGTGATCGTAAGCAAACAGTCTGCAGGAGAACAGAAAGGTGAGAGAATTTTCTTTAAAATATTTCAACTGAATATTTAAAGTATTTAATAAAAAAAAAAAAAAATATATATATATATATATATATATATATATATATATAATATTTTTCACATATAAATCTGAGGAGGCAAAGTTTTATGATTTTGAAAAATATAAATATTTTAATAATAATTTTACTTATACCATTATAATTGTTTTGCACAAATTTGCTTTAAATATGTATTTTGCTTTAAATATGTATTTCAACTGAATATTAACTTTTTAATAATACATATTCAAAAAAGTAAAAATGTATATATTGTAATGTCATGTATTATAATACATAATAATATTTTTACATTTAAAATAAAGAACAGGCAAAGTTTAATGAATTTGTTAAATGTTAAACAAAGAAAATGTAAAATGAAGAATGTTTATTTTAGTTATAGATCATCACTGAATATTTATTTTTCACAGATTTGCTTAGTTGTACAAGTATTAAAAAAAAATATAACGAGTATTTAATGTTAATACATGTTCAAAAATATATAGATGATTTTATTGTAATTTATGGTGTTATAATTCATCATATAATTATATTTTTTACATTTAAATCAGATTGTTTAATGATTTTGACATGCTAAATGAAGAAATGTTTATTTCTTTTTATTATAGGTCATAATCATTTAATATTCATTTGACCTTTTCTATTATAATATTTTAACGGAATTTCCACACAGATTTTTTTGTTTATACATAAGTATCAATTGTTAATACATACTATTAATTTAACTTTTACTAGTATAATATTATAATTTTATATATTTCAAAATATAATTACAATAATATCTTTAAAAAAATATTTAAATAATAATATTTAAATGCATAATCTTTTTGCCAAAATGCTTGTGGCCACAAGATGGCAGACAGTGGCACATATTTGGATTCTTGTTAATTCTAATGTCTATTTTGGGAAATCTGTAATATATCTTGAAGATTGGATGTTTGAAATCAACGAAAACAAAAATTTGCTTCATGCTAGAACTGAAAGCAGAGGGGGTGGTGTAGCTTCGTGGTTAAAGATCCAGGCTGTTCATTGAAAAGTTGTTAGAACTAAGAACCAAGCAGTAAAATTAGGAGCAGTTTAATAAATGCATATTGTCATTAGATGAAAGCGAGAGTGTTTTTCACCTCACGCGTCCTCTAGCTTTGATTCCCTCTCTATAAATGTCAGCTGTGTGTGAGTATTGAGGTTCTGTTCTATTCCTGGCTGTCTGCAGTATAAATATCTCATGCATGAACATCACAGTGCTGCTGCATCAATGCACTGATGTGACGAGAGCGAATCACTGTGTTTCTCTTATCAAGACAACTAGTAAGGGTGAAAACTGAGGAGCCGTTTCTCTAGTGCCTCTGAAATCGCGTACTGTCCGAGTAGGTACTTCTTTTAAATTTCGATTTTGCGACCATTGAAAAAAGTATGCTCCTCTATAGCATGAGTATGAATGAAATTCAGATGTACTACGTCCGTCGTGTTGTTACTGTCATGTGACCTTCCAGCGTCAGTTGCGTTCAGTTCACTGCCATTCATAAATCCACTCCCGTGGCTAGGGGTGTAACGGTACACAAAAATCACGGTTCGGTACGTACCTCGGTTTTAAAGTCACGGTTCGGTACGTTTTCGATACAGCAAAAAGAAAGAAATGCCAGAAAAATTTCTTATTTGTTAAAAGAAAAAATATTTTTAAATAACTTAGTTTTCCTACATCTTGAAACTTTCGGGTTTATAAATGGGGGTCATCTTTGAAGGATGAACAAATAATGTTTTGGTCATCACATTAAAAATAACATTTAAATATATATATATTTATTTATATATTATTTGAGTTTTGAAGAGCTGGAAAAAGATGTGTGAAGTACTTGAAAGCAGTTCACTATTCCAGCCAAACTGGTTACAGTTAGTGTTAGCCTACTATATTAAATCCATGGTGAATGTTGCTGGTCTGTGGACGTAAAGTATTACTAGTTCATTCACGGCACAATGTTTCTCCTGGTTTCCACGTCAGCGCTGTTTGATCTAATAGAGATCTATGGTTAATAACGGAGAAATGTGAATGCTTCTCACTAGATCTCGCAGCGATGTTATTACTTCAGTGGCGAATTCAAATGTTTTCTTTACTGGATCTCTTAGCGCTGTGTAGTAACAGTGTCGTTTGATCGAGATCGGCTCGCGCTGCACAGATGTTGGTCAAACGATCCGTGAAGCACAATATAATGAGTAGCGCAGTTTCGTTCCGCTTTCATTACGTTTGCCATTTGATGTTGCGCAACGTTGTGGTGATCGCGCCAGCGCGAATTTTGTCGGCAAGAAAAATGGTCCAAGGAATCGTTCGGTTTGTATGCGTACCGAACCGGAAGCCTCGAACCGAAACGGTTCAATACGAATACATGTACCGTTACACCCCTACCCGTGGCCCTTAATGGGATAGTAAAGTGTCCACCAAATGTGTACTTAAGAATCTCAGAGGAAGTAGTAGGTCAACCGTGTACTTTTGACCTACTGTTTTTCGAATACTATGTATTTGGACATACTATTCTGTTGGCGTAATGTTTTTCGCATACTGTATAATAGGGAAGTATTCGATTTCATTCTCAGCCTTGCTCATAAAGCAAATGATTTATGCCTCACTGTGGTCTTGGCTGCTGTTGTTGTGGTCTTGATATTTCTGTAGTTTACAGTATGTTTACTGTTTATCTTCAGTATTTGGGCGTTTCTTTAACTACAGGCTGTTTTGGCCCTGCAGACTTTTTAGAAACTCTACTTTTCACACCCTTAATATCTCAGAAGATATTCAGTATCATTCTGTGGCAGAAGTGACGCTTCAAACATTTGCTGTCTTGCTCACGCTAATTTCATAGCTTGCATTTCTATGTATCCTAAATACATTACACATGAAATCATGTTTCAATAATATTTAAACAATTTATTCAATAAATGATATAAATATAGTAGTCAACATTTGTCAACAAAAAGTTCATATTTGAAACAAATCAATGATTATAAATCTAATAAGTTAATTAAATCAATTTATATGTATATTTATACATTTTTGTATAACGTTTGACGTTTTTGTAATCCTTGATTTGTTTCAAATATATAAATGTGTATATAGTACGTTTAATAAAAAAATATATGTATACACACATATATATATACACATACACATATTTTAATGTCCTTAATTTTTTTAACTTGCTTAATATATAATCAAACTAGATATTCAATATTAGATATTTTGTACATTATATACAGTATGTGTGTATATATATATAGTGCATAAAATTTAAAATAATTGTTCCATATGTTGATATTTTATTTTAATATGTTTATATAATTTTCTAAGTATGCTTCATATTATGTAGATGAAGGATCTACTTCTCTTTGAGAGTGGCGGCTGCACTAGAGAGAGTTTGACACAGAGAATCGATGTGCCTGTGGCACTGCTTTGACAGAACGAGATCTTTCGTCTCTTTAATTGGGGTATCAGTGTCTCGGCTTGACCTCGGAAATTCACCTCCTTCACCTCCAGCTCAGCTCCCCTGACACCCTGCCACCTCACCTCGGTGCGGGACGGGGAGAGGAGAAGTGCAAGTGCAGAGGGCCAGGAAAGGGCAGCCGCTTGTTCTGTCCGCTCCTAATTGGCGGTGTCCGTTTCAGCCAGCTCTCTGAACATGATGCTCTCTCTGGGATGGATGTGGTGGGAATGATGGATTTTCCCCCCCTATCCCTCGTTTGCGGCAAACAGACGGATGCGAAGGCGAGATAGTGTTTCCTGCGTCAGGAGTGGTGGAGGGAGATATCGGCAGGACGGAGATCCCTATCGGGCAGATACAGCAGAAAAAACACGACTGTTGTTATTTCTGTGGTGGCTCATGGTTGGATCGACTCGCTGAGGGTTTTTCTGATCTGAGAGCAGTTTAGTGAGGCATTTGAATGGTTTAGACTAGGATTTGAATGTGGAAAACTGGTTGTGGATCAGATAGAGCCTGGAAATTGGCAACAAATGTTGAATGGAAAGAATATGAAGTTTTACTGTTAATCAATGGCGTTTTGAATTAGAATGTCTTGAATTAGAGTCAATTTTAAAACCATCGTATATGCAGCGAAATTGACGTAATATCATCCGGAGCGTTTCAACAGCATAGCAGTCTCTTCAACCCTGTTAAGTTATTGTAAGAAAAAAATATGATAATTATTTTCTTTTAAGTTTATCCAGTAGCACCTCATTGCAGTACACGAGATCCAGGGGGCGGAGTTGGATTTCAGATCTAAGGGGTGGAGATGGGTAGGATTAGGGGTGGGGTTAGGGATCAGGGGGTGGAGATGGGTAGGATTAGGGGTGGGGTTAGGGATCAGGGGTGGAGATGGGTAGGATTAGGGGTGGAGATGGGTAAGATTAGGGGTGGGGTTAGGGATCAGGGGGTGGAGATGGGTAGGATTAGGGGTGGAGATGGGTAGGATTAGGGGTGGGGTTAGGGATCAGGGGGTGGAGATGGGTAGGATTAGGGGTGGAGATGGGTAGGATTAGGGGTGGAGATGGGTAGGATTAGGGGTGGGGTTAGGGATCAGGGGGTGGAGATGGGTAGGATTAGGGGTGGGGTTAGGGATCAGGGGGTGGAGATGGGTAGGATTAGGGGTGGGGTTAGGGATCAGGGGGTGGAGATGGGTAGGGTTGGGGTTAGGGATCAGGGGGTGGAGATGGGTAGGTTTAGGTCAGGGGTAGGCAATTTCGGTCCTAGAGAGCCGCTGTCCTGTAGAGTTTAGCTCCAACACTGAAAAAAACCTCTTCTGCCTATAGCCTTAGTAATCCTGAAGACATTGATTAGCTTGTTCAGGTGCGTTTGGTTAGGGTTGGAACTAAATTTGGCAGGACAGCGGCTCTCTAGGACCGAACTTGCCTACCCCCGGTTTAGGTATATGTAAGGTGAGAGGAGTTGGATCTGGATCTCGTGTTCTGCAGTGAGGACCATCTCAGTTTATCAGCAACTAAAAACCAACACATGGTCCTAAAACTATCTAGTCACTGATCTTATTTTCAGCTAAATTATCAACTCTTGCCAAAAAAAAAAAAAAAAAGTTTTAATTTTGGTAGAAAATAATGAAATCACACAAATCAGGGTATTTGATGATATTTACATGGCCACATTTTTTGTAACAGGGTAGAATGTAAATTTGACAAAATTACACAAGTGTTTTTGATTGTATTTAATTATCCTGTAACAGTGTACGTGTAATATGATAATATTTATTGTAAATAACATTTTGTTTATTTTATATATTATATTACTTAGATATTTATATATAGTATATTTACATATTAGATTATATTACTATATATTAATATATGAGATTATACTAAGATAATATTTAATATGATAGTATTCATTTGATATATTATATGTATATTTTATATATTTGTATTTTTTATATATATTAGTGCTGTCAAATCGATTAATCGCATCTAACATAAAAGCTTGTGTTTATATAATATATGTGTGTGTACATATATGTATGTGTGTGTGTAGTATGGATATACACACACACACATAATATATATAAATAATACTATATATTCACACACATATATTATATAAACACAATGCGATTAATTGATTTGACAGCACTTGTACATTTATAAGTATATATATATATATATATATATATATGCAGGCTCTACCTTGTTGCCTCATTTTGTCTTTTTCTCCAGTGTCGTAAGCGTAAAAGCAAATGTTCCTGTTCTGTTTATCATATCATTGAAGGGTGCAGGCCCAGGGTGTTTTTGTCTGGACTTTACATGTGGGCCGTTCTGTCAGAGATCATCAGTCTGGACCCTGAAATGTGGGTCGTAGGACATGACGTTTATCTCTCTTATCGAGTCGCCTCTCCAGACTATTTTCCAGAGGTCGACCACAGCCGCGTCATGCCCATATACAGACAAAAACGCATAGACGTCTGCGCGTGTGTATATAAAGCTTTGAGGGGCTGTTAAAAAACGGAGCGAAAAATTGTTTTGAAGTGTACATGACACGTAATCGTTCATGACTAATAAGTAACTCTCGTGTTATTCTCTTGGGTCTCCTGCAGACGGCCAGCATCCAATCTGTAAAGTTTCAGCTTTCCTTCACAGGAAGATGACGGACATTTGAGATGCTGTTTCTCCTGCAAACACACAACAGGCCAGTCGCCTCCGAGTGATTGACACATACAAAATAGCAGACACGCATTCACAGAAATGCTACGGATGTGGCTTCATTTGTCCAATTGGATTACAGAAGTTAATTTGCTTTGCATGGCTGTGAAATCAGTGAAGACACTATTTGGCATAACGATGTGGAAAGATTCAACAAACTGAATTAAATCATTTTGTTTGGAGATTTTGATTGCTTTTATTGGTTTTTCTACTATTTCTGTTTAGTTTAAATTTATTTTAGTTTGAATCATTTTAGTACTTGGCCTAAACATATTTTCAGTTGGTTGCCAAGGCACTTATTTTTGCCTTGGCAACCAACTGAAAATATGTTTAAGCTAAGTTCTTGAGGACTTTTGTTGTTCACAGCCCTGATAAATGTCCACAGCAGGGCTCGAGAGGTCAGCGCAGGTCATTCAGGCGGTCAGACTTTTTCCTTCCATCTCTCAGTGATGGACCTTTGCAGAGATGTGAAGGCGTTTTTGATGACCAGATAACTCATATAAATGCTCTTTTCCTCTGAATGTTGCTCGTAGCAACCAAAAGCTTGTTGAGCTGAGCTTCTCCCCTGGTGATCGAAACCGCAGAGGTCAACTCATTTTCATGCGTTTCTCTCTGGGTTTAATGCATTTGTGTTATTTTTGGACCAAACTGTAGCTTAACTGTTTTTTTAACGTATGTTGCTTAACACAGATCATTTCAGAGTGCCAAGTGAAAAAAATGTTTGTGGTAATTAATTTTTTCAATGCATTATTTTAACTAATAATTATTATTATAATAATTAATTATGCTTACAATCAGTTATAATAATAATACTCAATTAATAACACTGTGATTCATGAATTTTTAGATTTCAAAACTTATTTTTTATTTTAATATAATTTATATATTTATAATAATTTTCGTTTAAGTTTTAGTCAATTTGTTCTTTTGTAATTTGTATTAGTTATTTAATATGTCTATTTAGCTTTGCTTTATTTTAGTTTCAGTCATTTTAGCATATTTTAGTACTCAATTTTAGTAATTTTTAATAACTTATTTTATTTGTTAATCTAATTAATTAATTTTTCATCTAATATTTAGGCTTTATTTTAATTGATTTCAGCTTTATTTATTTGAATAGTTTTAGTTAACAGTAACAACACTGATCTTAATGTTTTTGGGCGTTTTTATGATTGCATATCTAATATGGAATTATTAATTCTGAGAGAGTTACGCATCTGTAATAGTCACCATTCATCAGAGGGTTAATAACAATATTATCATTAAGCACACAAAAAAGTGAATTTTCTAAAACTGAAGAACATAAATCTTGTGACATTTTTATTTTTTCAATGCACTGTGATATCTCAGTATATTAAATGATTAGTAACAATTTAATAATTGCATTTTCTGTAATTGAAGCATGTAAGTCTTGTGTGTCACACATAAAAGAGGTTTATTTGTGGTTTGACCTCTGTGGACAGTGAATGACCTCTGTCAAATGGGAAAAACACACAATATGCTCCTCCTGATAAGACTTCACTATCTGGGAACAGGAGGTTACATGCAGTTAAAACAACAGACATCCTCTGGTAATCTACACACATTATTTTCCATTCGATATATACAATCCCACAGCCACGGCACATGTCATAATATTCTCATGTGGACATTTGATTAAAAATAGTGACTTATTGTGAAAAATAGTGTGTAATTTCAAAAAAAGAATTTTATTTTATTCCAACCCTACATTATTTTATATGAAGAAGAAACATACTGCTAATGCTGATTTACAGTGTTTATGTGGGTTTGAGATCTAAGCAGTGCAGTTCCTGCATCGTTCCTGGTGGGAACTGAACCTGCAACCTTTGTGTCAGCAGCCGTTCGTCTCCTTAACTGATTGGCTCCCACTACGTTATTTTGACAGGTGCACAGAGTTCAATCTCTGCAGACTAAACAAAACCAGAATGAACCAAAACACCTGCATTCACACCAAATATAAAGCCCTCTTCAAAGAATAACTTCCAGTGCATTTGTGTGTGTTTTTGTTTCTGTTTGAACCAGTGTTGTGATTAACTAAAACTTATTTAAATTTGTTTCAAATTAGAAATATAGCCTTGCAACTAACTGAAAAAAAATGTTTGTTACACTGAAATAAAAATACATTTAAGCTAAATAGAAATATAAAAAATATAAAAATGACAAGCATATAACAAAATTACAAAAACTTAACCTAGAATTAAAATAAGAACTGAAAATATAAAAAAGGTAATTAGAAATTTTAATAAATACTAAAATAACACTGGTTTAAATTTTTCCTCTTAAAAGTAATGAGTTTTTTTTACTCCTTTTTATGCCTTTCTATTATGTTTTATTCTATTTTTTTCTTATTTTTCCCCTTTCTTGTGATTTTTCTTCTTCTTTCATTTTATGTATTTTTATCATTTTATACCATTTTAATCATTTATCGTTTTACAACTTTTTATGGCTTTATATTATGCCGTTTTATTTAGATTTATTTTTATTCTTTTTTTTTCCATTTTATGTATTTATCATTTTATACCAATTTAATCATTTATCGTTTTACAACTTTTTTTGTGGCTTTATATTGTGCCTTTTTTAAATTTTATTCCTGTTTTGTCTTTTATTTAATTTATTTAATTACTTTTTATTTAGTTTAATATTTATGTATTATTTCTTTCTCTAGCTAAATTATTGATTATTAAAATGATTGACCAAACTGCATTACATTCTAAAGTAAATATCAAGCATTTTTTGTTTTGCTTTTTCTTCATCCCCTTTTTGCAAATAAAGTTGTTATTTAGTTTTTAGTTTTGTTTTGTTTAAATGCTTGAATGCATAGGATCTTCACAGGCCAGTCATGCATGTTGTTGAATTGATCAATAATGAATGATCCATATGGAAATGCCTTTTTTTTTCAGGCACGGAGGAAAAGAAACATCAGTCGAAGAAAGAAAAAATGAAGGAGCGGAGGGAAAGATGGCTCAACAGTGAGTGATTTTTTTTTTTATCCTTCTCTTCTTAGGACCTTTTCCTTTCCCGCAAATATCATCAAAAGTCCAGAAAACACAATCCCGAAACGCTCGTATGAGGATATTTCTTTCATCGTGAACTGATCTGCGATTCTCTCGTGGGCCGACGGGAACCTCAGAGATGGATATGGCAGGATCATTAACGCCACACCCCGTTTCTGACGCCTGTAATCGTTCCGGCCGATCAATGCGTCGGGTAACACAAGCTCCGTCCGAGGTGATTATAATTAGGATCTAATGGGGCTCACGGCTCCAGCCGAAACCCAAGCCTCAGACTGCATGTCAGATTTTCAGGAAATTAAAAAGGGGGGAGGATTAAGATGTTGATGGATTCATAAAGCTCAAAGACCTTCAAGGTTTTAACAAATGGTGTACAGTAACACTTATATACAGGGATGTAGTTGTAAAATAAAAGATCTTAACGCCCGAAATGGCCACTTATCAGGTGAAGAATGACATTTCATTTGTGTTTGCATAAAGACGAACATGTAACTAAGTGCTTCTGTCAAAGATCTGTTTTTTTCTTCCCTACATGTACTGTGTTGTTTTTGGACTGAAGCACCTGGTGTGTCCTGCTTAGTGCCTTTAGATGGTCGGGTGATTGTAGTTATTTTCTAGGGGTGTGCAAAAAAATCGATTCACATTTGAATCGCGATTCAATCTTTACCGATTCAGAATCGATTAATATAATTCCAAAAATCGATTCATATATATATATTTTTAATGGCGTACACGGGCGGAGTGGCAATCGGGTGAGTCGGGACTTTTAACGGTGGTCCGGTAGTGTTTCGAGGCCGCGAGGGCCGGTCTGATAAATAGTTACCAGGGTTCTCAAGTTTTATCAAAAGCTTGGAGTGAGATCACATGCGGTTAGGGGAGGAGCCCAAGGGGAGGAGCCCCAGTGGAGCCCCGCCCACCCCACCCCCCAATTTTACCCATTGTTCATAATTAACCAGCATAAATTAAAATTATAATAATTGGTCCATAATAATAAATAAATATAATAAAATAATAAAATAAATATAAATATAATAAAAATCCAAACAGTTTGGAAAAACAAATCTTTTTGCATTTTTCCCTGACATCTTTGAAAAATACAAATCCAATGGCAATGATTATAATGTATGTTTTGACAGGATATAAAATATTACCCAGAGCACTCTGCCTTAATACATGTAGCCTTAATGTAACTAGAAAGACTATTAATACAGTATAATATATAATTTAAAATAAAATTCAATTCTTCAATAAACTTCATTCCTTCCCATACCCACTAACATTTTCCTTAGCAAAAGCTTCTGGCTTGGTTGCAAAGTAGTTGTAGAGTTTTTGACTGCATCAATAATAATGTATACGATTGGCTATATATTAAATGTTCTAGCCTAAAAATGTTAGACGAGCTTTCTTCCAACTTACCTTCTCCATAACGACGTGTGTTCGCGCGATATTGTTGGTTACCTAGTAACGAACGTACGGTGGCCGAGAATGTGTGTGCGTACGTTCGCGCGATGGCCGAGAATGTTCCGTCAACTTCCGTGTGGTTCGCGCATCTATGTTGCCTAGTAACGAACGCAATCTGGCCGAGATACGGACGCGCTGGCGGCAGGAAACTTCACTTTGTGTGTCTGCGCCTCGTATACAACGTTATACACTCACCGGCCACTTTATTAGATACACCTGTCCAACTGCTCGTTAACACTTAATTTCTAAGCAGCCAATCACATGGTGGCAACTCAGTGCATTTAGGCATGTAGACATGGTCAAGACAATCTCCTGCAGTTCAAACCGAGCATCAGTATGGGGAAGAAAGGTGATTTGAGTGACTTTGAACGTGGCATGATTGTTGGTGCCAGAAGGGCTGGTCTGAGTATTTCAGAAACTGCTAATCTACTGGGATTTTCACGCACAACCATCTCTAGGGTTTACAGAGAATGGTCCGAAAAAGAAAAAACATCCAGTGAGCGGCAGTTCTGTGGGCGGAAATGCCTTGTTGATGCCAGAGGTCAGAGGAGAATGGCCAGACTGGTTCGAGCTGATAGAAGGGCAACAGTGACTGAAATAACCACTCGTTACAACCGAGGTATGCAGCAAAGCATTTGTGAAGCCACAACACGCACCACCTTGAGGCGGATGGGCTACAACAGCAGAAGACTCCACCGGGTACCACTCATCTCCACTACAAATAGGAAAAAGAGGCTACAATTTGCAAGAGCTCACCAAAATTGAACAGTTGAAGACTGGAAAAATGTTGCCTGGTCTGATGAGTCTCGATTTCTGTTGAGACATTCAGATGGTAGAGTCAGAATATGGCGTAAACAGAATGAGAACATGGAACCATCATGCCTTGTTACCACTGTGCAGGCTGGTGGTGGTGGTGTAATGGTGTGGGGGATGTTTTCCTGGCACACTTTAGGCCCCTTAGTGCCAATTGGGCATCGTTTAAATGCCACGGCCTACCTGAGCATTGTTTCTGACCATGTCCATCCCTTTATGGCCACCATGTACCCATCCTCTGATGGCTACTTCCACCATGTCACAAAGCTCTAATCATTTCAAATTGGTTTTTTGAACATGACAATGAGTTCACTGTACTAAAATGGCCTCCACAGTCACCAGATCTCAACCCAATAGAGCATCTTTGGGATGTGGTGGAACGGGAGATTCGCATCATGGATGTGCAGCCGACAAATCTGCGGCAACTGTGTGATGCCATCATGTCAATATGGACCAAACTCCCTGAGGAATGCTTCCAGCACCTTGTTGAATCTATGCCACGAAGAATTGAGGCAGTTCTGAAGGCAAAAGGGGGTCCAACCCGTTTACTAGCATGGGGTACCTAATAAAGTGGCCGGTGAGTGTATAAAGCTTGCAGGATAACTTGGTTGGCATTGCCTTTTCAGCGTGAGAAATACATGGTGTGGCGTGTGAGCGTGTGAACTGGTTGAATTGCGTGTCTCACGGCCAATGCGTGAGACTTGAGAACCCTGGTTACATTGCAAGTTCTTGCCGCCCGCGCTGGTCAAACCGCAGCCTCTCTGCTCAACCCGTAAATAAATGCATCGATCCGCAGATCTTATGTTTGAGTTCAGATCTTTTGCCAAGCGTGTCAGAGTTTACGGGTTCTAAACCGCACTCGTATAGTGTTTTCTCTCTCTCATCAAAACCGCATATGTTCATCACGTTTGTGTGCATTTTATTTTGTGATTTCACCAGAGTCTCCACAACGGCGATAGATTGAAGCGCGTGTCCGAGTGAAGACTGCGCCACAGAGAACACTGTATCCGTGACACTGATAGCAGCGGACACGAGCGCTCAGCTTGATTTCAAAAACAACAGATCTCTTATTTAATAGCGAACTAAATTAATGCTCTGCTAGTTAACTGGAGATATGAACGACTTCACTGGATCTAAACAAATCAATCTAACCATAGATGTTACCAGTAGCGGTGGCTTTTTTAAATCTATTTAAAATAATTTCGCAAGGGTTCTATGACATTAGTATATATTTTTAGGAAGTTCAATGTGCCCAGTCGAGTTCACATTTCAACAGTCAACCTGGTAGCTGAAGTAGTCCTTAAACCACATTTAGCATAATTGTTTGTTTGATCTGACTACAGCACTTTAAAGCTAAATGTAAATGTAAATGTATTTAAGTTTTATTTTTAAACTTGAATTAAATGTAGGCTATTTGAAAGCTGGCCAAAGCTTGGCACTTTGCACTTTTTAGTTGCAAAAGTTTTTATTTTTGTATGAAGACATATAAAGTAATATTTAAACTACATTTAATTTGTTGTGGGTTTTTTTCTTTTAAATTGTGTCTACTGCAATCAATCACATAGGAAAAAGTAAACTACATTTATATACTGCGAATCGTTTTTTGAATCGAAAATCGATTTTGAATCGAATCTTGAGACAAAAAATCGGTATCGAATCGTGACATTTTCTGAATCGTGCACCCCTATTATTTTCTGTCTATGACCTGGACAGGAAGTCGTTCTGGATAAAGGCCTTCCAGAATGAATTGACCCAACTTTTTTATCAGAAATGATGTGACCTACTGTAACATTACTGTGATGTCTGGGATTTCAGACCATTGTTTAAAAGCAATGCATTTATCCGATTCTTTACCACAATTAAATTCAATTAAATTTCCGTAGTTATTTTGTTGTATTTTAGTTAGTTATTATGTAATAATTAATAAGGTAGTAATAATGTAGTAATAACGTAGTTATTATTATGTATTAGGGGTTGAACCGACTAGTCGATTAGTCGACTAGTCGACCTTAATGAAACACCGCGACGCTTTAAGCTTGACGTCGACTAGTCGCGATGATCATGTGACACTATGATTGCGCTACTTTTGATACTAACATGTTGCAGACGACAACAGATGAAGAGCCCAGAGGGCCATTGCAGCAAGAAAGCAGCATTGGTACATCAAATGTGTGTAAATACTTTACTAACCTAACACTAGATATTGTTGAAAACGAAAGTAAAAGCATGACGCACGCTCACCGGAAATGAGAGTTCAGTTTCTTTATTAAAATCATTAAAACATTTTTTTTTCATTTATTTATTTAAACATATTAATGATGTAGCTAATTCACCCGCAGTTAATTGGAATATTATTTTGTATTACTTGGATCTGCGCATCACTAAGGCACAGATGTGAATTTATAGCTTTTTTTCCTTTTCTTTTCATCCTAAATGATGATGTAACTGCGGGCTGTTTACACCAGGCCACTTCATGTGTTTCTGTGATCTGATAGCTATATCCGATCGTGAAAAGACCAGGTGTAAATGCCCTCCGAAACGCACTCGAGACGGATTTAAATCCGATCGCTCAAACCGCCTCAGGAGGAGGTCTGGGCCGCTTAACAGACGAAACTGGACAAGTGTAAATGCATCTGGTTGTTGAAACTGGACTTCTCCCAACGTGCAAACTATCGCAAATCAAAGTGAAAGTAAGTCGCAGACGCTTAACACACAATCATCTTCATTAAAAGTAAAGAAACAGAAATGATCTTACCAGTGCTGTCTCTCTTATTGCGGTCTTTGATTTTGAAATTAGCTGATGATCAATAAAATGCAGCTCATTATTGTTGCTTTCGGTGACGTGAACTCCGTTAAATCTGCATAGCGCGTTGTTTGAAGATCGGATTTATATCTGTTTTGCGAAAACATATTTATGTGACCAGGTGTGGCTAAATGGAATCGTTTTGATAAATCAGATCAGTAAAAAAACATGAAGTGAGGTGTAAACGGCCCCATTATGAGCTGTCTGTCAGCATCTGTATAATTTTCTGTTAATTAATTGCAAATTGTGGCATGTTGCAAAGCAGTCCCATCTCTTGTGTTTTTATGAATGACGTCATCGACTAGTCGACGTCGACTCGACTTTGATGTCATAACAGTCGACTTAAAAAAATCTGAAGTCGTTCAACCCCTATTATGTATTCTTTTTGTTTTTAAATATATGCCTTTTAATTTTTTCCCCTCTTTTATTTTTTTTATTACTTTTCATCATTTATTTTATACCTATTATTTTAAGAATTTATATTTTTTTATGCTTTTTTTGAATTAATTTATATGTTTAGTTTTATGCCTTTTATTTTATATTTTGTAATGTATGCTTTTTTTTATTTGTATTCATTTATTTTCTGCTTTATTTTTTTTTGCCATTTTATTAATTTGTATTTTATTTTTGTTGTTTCGGTTTCATCTCTTTTATAATGTATATGCTTTTTATTTTACACTTTTTGTTGTTTATTTGTTTATTTTAGGCTTTTATATTTTTATAATTAATTTTTATGCTGTTTTAATTTATGAATTAATTTTATTTTGTTGGTTTTTATTTTATATAAATTTAATATGAACTGTTTCAGCTTTTTTTATGCCTTTTATTTAATTATTTTATTTTATTCCTTTTTTATGCTGTTTGCCAGAGAACAAGATATGGCAAGAAGAGGAGGATCAAACTTGTGTTACCCACATCAGCACAACAGTTCAAAGAGCGTGTCTGAATTTGAATGAACGAGCGCACAAGATTTTGCATCCACTGCTCTGTGATCAGAAAACCCCCTTTTGCCCCCAGCGTATGCGTCTTGGTCTGAAGTTTGTTTGTCTCTTTACCATCTGTAGAGATCAGTGGGATCAAGCTGGCCCGTGAACAGCAGGTGGCACAAGCGCGGAGGAAGGCCACTCCTGTTGTGGGCGACATGAGGCCGCTAGCCGACGCTCTTCCTGAACTCTCCCAGCTCCTCCCTTCTTTCAGAACCCCCACCAGGGCACAGCGGAAAAATAAAGCGTAAGTACTCACTTTCCTCATTTCTACACAGAAACATGATTGTGTATGCTGGCAGCATATTATCCTCTGTGATCATTTGTGCATATGCATGTATTTGTTGGCATGAGTAAGCGCTCGTTAATAGTCTCTAAACAACACATTGTACTAACAGATTTCATGTAACACCTGTTTCTCTTGCAATGGGATTCAAACCGAATTTGTATTCATTTTCTGCTACCCAGTGTACATGTTTTTTTTTCTCTCTTTCTGCCGCTTGATTTACTCAATATTTATAGTATTATTAAAGTGCCCCTTTTATTCTATTTTAAAGGTTCCTATTTTTGTTTTGGAGGTCTCCTACAACAGGTTTACATGCATCCAAGGTCAAAACCACTTAATATATCATAATATACATTGCAGCATCACCTCTTTTCTCACAGGGTCTGAAACGGTTCATTCGAAGATTCGTCTCTCTAAACCCCTCCTTTCTGAAAGCTACTCTGCTCTGATTGGTCAGATGGCCCAGTCTGTTGTGATTGGCTACTCTGCTCTGATTGGTCAGATGACTCAGTCTGCTGTGATTGGTCTACTCTGCTCTGATTGGTCAGATGACCCAGTCTGTTGTGATTGGTCTACTCTGCTCTGATTGGTCAGATGGCCCAGTCTGTTGTGATTGGCTACTCTGCTCTGATTGGTCAGATGACTCAGTCTGCTGTGATTGGTCTACTCTGCTCTGATTGGTCAGATGACCCAGTCTGTTGTCATTGGTCTACTCTGCTCTGATTGGTCAGATGACCCAGTCTGTTGTGATTGGTCTACTCTGCTCTGATTGGTCAGATGACTCGGTCTGCTGTGATTGGACTACTCAGCTCTGATTGGTCAGATGAGCCAGTCTGTTGTGATTGGCTACTCTGCTCTGATTGGTCAGATGACTCGGTCTGCTGTGATTGGTCTACTCTGCTCTGATTGGTCCGATGGCCCAGTCTGTTGTGATTGATCTACTCTGCTCTGATTGGTCAGATGACTCAGTCTGCTGTGATTGGTCTACTCAGCTCTGATTGGTCAGATGACCCAGTCTGTTGTGATTGGTCTACTCTGCTCTGATTGGTCAGATGACTCGGTCTGCTGTGATTAGACTACTCAGCTCTGATTGGTCAGATGAGCCAGTCTGTTGTGATTGGCTACTCTGCTCTGATTGGTCAGATGACTCGGTCTGCTGTGATTAGTCTACTCTGCTCTGATTGGTCCGAGGACCCAGTCTGTTGTGATTGATCTACTCTGCTCTGATTGGTCAGATGACTCAGTCTGCTGTGATTGGTCTACTCTGCTCTGATTGGTCAGATGACCCAGTCTGTTGTAATTGGTCTACTCTGCTCTGATTGGTCAGATGACCCAGTCTGTTGTGATTGGTCTACTCTGCTCTGATTGGTCAGATGATCCAGTCTGTTGTGATTGATCTACTTTGTTCTGATTGGTCAGATGGCCCAGTCTGTTGTGATTGATCTACTCTGCTCTGATTGGTCAGATGGCCCAGTCTGTTGTGATTGATCTACTCTGCTCTGATTGGTCAGATGACTCAGTCTGCTGTGATTGGTCTTCGCTGCTCTGATTGGCTGTTCGCTGCCAGTCTTTTATTGATCTACTGCTTGCAGCATATGTTGGAAACCAAACGCCCATTACCATATCAAAAAAAGCATATTAGGGGCACTTTAATTTTTTTAGATCCCTTTCCCCAAAAAGACCTGTAATAAAATGCTAAACCCAAAACATAAAATTGCATTTTGTTTTACAAATGAATTCTGTATCAACTCAAGATAAATACCCGCTATCAATATTTCAAATTGTAAATATTGTAAGCAGATTGTACTAATAATAAAAAAAAAAGTATATTTATATCACACACACTAAATGTGTTTCTTAAGAAATAAAGCATGCCACGGGTCGGCAGCAGTCTTGCTGTTTATTTAGATTAATCGGGTGTTTGGCTGAGCGTGCGAAGGTCCGAAGCTTTTTTCACAACTGTGTAATTGCTTTGATCCAAAACACATTTGTCTGTTTTTCTCTGTTTGCGTTGGTACTTTTTTATCTGTTAGTCATTTGAATGTATGTTGTGAAGTCTTGCTTTGTCTTGCATTAGTAACTCAAAAAAAAAAAAACCCCACTTGTGTGAGGAAAGCCTGTGCTCTGGACAACTTCAAAGCGCATCTTCAAACATGCCTTTAAGTCTCTCTATAAAAATTTCAGCAGACAGGCTTTTTTCCCCTTATTTTTTGTTAGTAAGTTAATGATGCTAAATATAAATGGTTCTGCATGTAACACAAATGTTTGTTCTTGTTTTCTCGTCTCAGTTCGGTTAAGAAGAAACCAGAACCCACAGACTTCAGCCTGATGAAACCAGCCCAGAAACGAAAACTACTGTAAGATAATGGCTTCCCTCAAACTTCCAAACTTTGCTAATGTTAATTTCACATCAGTATTTTATTTTATCAATCATATAGAATCATAAAAAAATAAAAAAAATAAAAACATTTACTCTTTTGTAAGAGTAACCCCCCCCCATTTCTTTTTGTTTTGCATTATTGTCATGGCAATTAAGCACATTACCTTAATGAAAAAAACCCAATACATTATTACAAACATTATTTGTGTATTATATATTATTTAAATAATATATTTTTTTAAATGCAAAATTTATATTTATACTACTATTATTTTCAATAATTTAATTGTTTTAATTGTAAATATATCATACATTTTAATATTATAAATGATTTATTTATTTATAAATTAAATTAACAAAAACCTAGGGGTTAATGGGAAAATCTCACAAAACCAAGAACATGTCCAAGTCACATTTTACCTTAAAAAAAAGAATAAATAAGTCAATAATAATAATGAAAAATAAGTATTTTGCTTAAAATAACTAATGTCTATTTCAGGGATATTATTACTTTTTTTTTTTTTTTATTAATTCATTATTTTTTGCATTGTCATGAAAATTAAGCAGATTACCTTAATGCAAAAATAAATGATTAAAAATGGCATATAAATTCATATTTATATATTATTTAAGCAATATATTTAATTTAAATGTAAAAACATATATAATTAAAACTTATTTTATTACTATAAATAATTGTAGTATTGTATGTGTATTGTATTATTATAATAAATTATTTATTTAATTTATATTAAATTAAATTTAAATATTTAAATACAATAACCAAACATATAATTGCCATGTAAATAATGTTACTGTCTCAGGTTATACAAATATGCCTAATTTTCTTTATACTAAATATATATTCTTGTTTTTTTCACGCCATTTTTTTTTATTGTGCAGTTAAGTCAAATTTTAATCAAATTGTTTATTTTTTTTAATTCCAGCGAGACCGAAGCATCTTACTTCAACGAAGCCATGAAAAACCCTGCCTTCAAGACCAACCCTTTGGCTGCAATTGGTGATCATCTGCGAAAACGACTCAAACAGGAAGACGAACAGACTTAATCGCAACTCTGGAGCGCCGCCCTGTTGTTAGACTACAAAAACTATCTTATTATACGCTGGTACATCGAAACATTCAAATCGGTTTTGTACTTCATAACAGATTATGAAACGAAGAGGAATGCCAAGATTAGCATAATTTTGCATTATCTGGCACTGTATAAACACTATGGATGCTATGTTCCTCTGTGTCATTTCAAAAATGAGTCGAAGTGTAAAATGAATTGCGTTAGTGATCATGCTATCAGATATTATGAGTGTTTTCATGCTGTCTATTCCACATGCTTTTGGCTAGATACAAATAAATCCAATTGAAAATAATTACGGTGATATTTCTTTATTAGGGGTGTTTCCCAAGACAAGCATGACTTATAACGATAAAACAGGCGATAAAAATGACTCTACCTGATGCATTTGTTCACTTGCTGGAGTTTCACAGACAAAAACCTCTCATTAAAGTGAGATCTAATATATCAAATGCCTCTGCATTTCCATGACAACACGTTGCAAAAAGAAGGAAAGGGCGGCAGCTCTTTTAGAGATAAAGGAGACATGGGAACCCGAACCCTGACTTCTCTTCATCGCTTCATGGCTCTTGGATGTCTGATATTGAGGAGGATCTTTTCTTGGATCTCGTCTAGATCCACTTCACAACCCTGTCAAATGCTGGGTTTCTCATAAACGGGCAACATTATCGAATAACACCAGCATAAGTGAACACGAATGTAATGTTTCATGTTTGCGATGGACTAATGTGATTGTTAGTCCTCCAGAGATAATCTGAGAAACCTGATGGGAATGTGAGTATAGATATTAGATGTTGTTCACCCACACAAATGTGTTCTTTTGTCCTAAATCCTTTTATTTTAGGTAAGATATTAGAATGTGTTTGATTTCAGTGACATGTAGTTAAAAGAGAAAAAGAAAAGCAACTTTTGCACATTAATATCTTCTCACCAATAATTATTGCCACATTTGCCGTCAGTGTTAGAAATTATAATCGTTTTTTTTTTATATTGACCCCTGGAATCTATATTTTGCCTCAGTCAGCACACAGTTTCATACTTTTGTCAAGTAAATTGACATGTATTATTATAAGCATGTATTATATATTTTTTCCTCACGTTATGAATTATATTTTTATTTTAAAATTCATGTCTATCTATGCGTATTTGTCTATCTATCTATCAATCTATCTGTCTGTCTGTCTATCTAGTTACTAATCTAGTTACATTCATATGTGATGTGACAATTTTTGTTTTTATTGTTTTGTTTTTTTAATCTTTTGTGTGTGTGTTTTGTAGTATTGCAGAATGTTTTTTGTGTTTTATTTTATACATTTGTATTTATTTTATTTACTTTTACATGTAAATGCTTTATTACAGTAATGAGAATTACGGTCTTAATGGCCCATAAAATAAGCTTCATTTTCATTATGGTTTTAGTGTGAAATCAACACAACTTAGACAATAATTAGGCCAATGGCATGTGTGTGAAGTGAGATGTTTGGTCTTAAATGATTTGAGTGTTTCTAAAATAACGAACTGGCAGTTATATAAAGCGAAATGCGTCAGTGTATGGAGGCGGGTGGCCGCTGCTCGCGTGCCCGTGCTGTGATTCCTCCTCGTCTCCTCTTCATCCTTCACTAGGTCGGCCTCTTAACCACAAGCGACGCCACCCCAGAATCCCCACTCATGTGAGTCAGCGCACACACACACACACGGGGTCAGTAGGAGATGGAGCGATTGTTCGTCCTGATCTTTATCAGCCTTAAAATGTGCAGTATTTAGGCTATATAAATCATTATTTATTTAGGCATAGGCTTTGTGCATGCATGCATAAACAAGCAAATAGCCTAAATAGCCTACAGTAAATAACTAAAACACTGTGTAGGCCTATACATACAAATTTCACATTGAAATAAATGTTTTTAAAATATTTATTTTATTTATATATAAATAATGCAAAAGAAAACACCCACGAAGAGATTTAAAAGCGGAGAGTGTTCGTTGTGTGACACAGAAGAATCATAAATAATCAAGCCGCATTTGAAGAAAGAATCCATGATATGAGTATTAGGATACATATTGTGGGAGGAGACAGCTGTCAAGATAAAATATGCTTTTGTGCATGTGATAAAGATCTATCAATCAATATATCTATCTATCTATCTATCTTATATGACAGATATATCCATCATGGTGTATAGTAATGTAGCCTATATAAAAACAAAAAATAATACACCTTATACATATATAATCTCATATAATATTAATGTTATGTTATTAAAAAAACATGTTTTTTTTCTGTTGTTCAAAGTAGGAGTTTTACAGCTCTTTAAGTTTCTCCGTATAAATTAAACAATACGACTGTCTCTCTGACCAATCAGCGCGAGAATTTTACCTGTCAAGCCTGATCCACAAATCAAACGGCAGTGAGTGAAGAGCCCCCCCACTCTTTGGCCAATCAGGGTTCAGCATCGCCTAGTACTCCGTATCATCACTCTATTCGTATCACAGATGCAAACAGGCATAATTAAACGACTAGCGGTGTGAAATGCAGTGATGCTCCGCGTGCGATAATTCAACGGTTGTCGACATGAGCTACACGCCTGCTTTGTAACATATTGCATTCGGTATTTATCTTTTATTCCTTATATTACGTGCTGTTCATCGGAAGCTTTTTGTTCATCAGGATTCATCTCTAGGATATCAACCAAACATCGTACTGTGAGTAATATTCACATTTAGGCTATTCATGCACAAAAAAATAGGCCTACAGAAGCATGCATTTAATTTACATTATTTTGTGTTTTTACCAATACTCAAAGATCCCTGTAGTCTTATCATATAAATAGATGAATGCAGTGAATGGTCCGTGATCTACAGTTCAGCATCCATGAGCTTCAGATTTGACTTAGATACTGATGTGGTTGATCTCTTTTTTTTCCCGTTTTTTTTCTTTTCTTTAACTATTAAACAGATGCACTGACTGAAGAGTTTTTAGACACTCCAGTGAACTGAGCATCTGTCCCAACTGCTTTTGTCACGCAAAGAAATATTGATATATTGTCAAGAAGTAAATATATCCTATATATTTATATATATATATATATATATATATATATATATATATATATATATATATATATATGTGTGTGTGTGTGTGTGTGTGTGAGTGTGTGTGTGAGTGGGGTAGATTACTTACAAACTGTAGTCTGTTACTGTTTCCAAAATCACATGGAAAAAAAATTGTGGTTAGTAATGTAATCTAGATTACTCATTTTAGGTAATGTATTCTGACTACTTTTAGATTACTTTTAGATTACTTTTGAGCTAACTCGTTTATCACATTGACATCTTATATTGATATACAAATACAAGGAGAAGGAAAATATATTCCATTCTTTGTTATCAACAACATGAAGTGTATTAAATTTTACCTTACCTCAGGGTTTCCCAGACTGGGGTTCATGATGGAACTGCTTCCATCTGTTTCGTGTGTTTTAAAAAAAAGCTATTAAGTCATAAAAATGTCAAATTAAAATGTAAATAAAATAAAAACAATAAAAATAAAAAATAAATGTTTTTACCTGCATGTCATGTCAACAATTTTATTATTATTGATTATTATTACGGACTTAATTTTATTATTTACCTAACTTATTTACTTCTAATCTAATGACTTACTTTAAGTAAATATATATTAGGGCAAAGAGGTTCAGTTGCCAAAAAAGTTGGGGAATCCCTGGATTGCATGTAAATATGAAATCAACATAAATGTGTACATTTTAATGTGTTTGAAAGACAAAAGTCTTCACTGTAAAAATTATATGATCAATAAATTATGACATATGTTCTTACATTGCTTTAACTCATCAAAATAATCCAAGTTGATTGTACTTAAAAATTTAAGGCAGCAACTTTTTTTACAGTGTTCCGAAGTACCGGTAATACAAGGTTAAATTGAGTGAAAATTCAAATGATAATTAATGTGTTTGCATTAGATATGCAATGTTGTAATGTAGAGAAAAGACTTCTTAAATGTAAAATTATTTAATTTTTTTTTTAATCCGATTGCCCAGTAGTGTATGTCTATACATACAATATATATATATAGTCATAAAATATGTGTGTGTATATATATATATATATATATATATATATATATATTGGTATGTTGTTATAAAATGTTCAAAAATGTTCACATTAACTAAAGGACACAAATTGTGAACAATTAATACAAATAGTAATTTAACTGTCGCAGTTCTACACTGATGCTGAAAGCTGCTTTGCTCCTCTTGTTTGGATTCCAATCATAGTTTGTTTTAAGAAAAACAATCTAAAACTCTTGCCCGGGCGAGTATGAATTCTGCAAGTAAAGAAATGAGGTGTGCAAAGACGTGGAACTGAGCCTGGTCTGATTAAATGAAAGGAAAAACAAAATGCACAATCAAAAGTCAAAGAGAATACAGAACGCAGAACAGTTTTAAGTTTGGTGAACGTTCTAGACTAGGTTTAACGCTTTTTACTGGTTTAGGATCTTCCTCATTTCCTGTTTGTGGGTTGGTTTTGAAAGCTTTGGTTAGATGATCTTACTGAATTGCTGAGCGGCAGCCCGTTTTACATCTAACTGTTCAGAATCAGGATGGGGAATACTACATTTAAGTCCATTACACTAATTGCACTTAAACTGCATTAATATTACAACAACTATAGATCAGGAGCGCAAAAGCTCGCATACCCTTAAAAAAAAACATGCTTTTTTTATTTAGCAAAAAAGAGGCATTATAAAAATTGCAATAAATAATATATTTGTAATATTTAATATATTTGTATTATTTATTTGTATATTTTATTATAATTATTATTTTTCAATTCATAAATATATTAGTGTAAATAAATAATAATAAAACATGATATTTTAATAAAGATAATTTTAACATATTTACCATCTATACTGTTCAATAGTGTACATTTTTTGAGTTCTTGTAGTCTTTGATAGTTTAGTGATGCATTAGTCTTTGTTTTGTCCTGAAGTGAATCTTCCCACTGCTCTTGAGTCCTCTTTTGTTTCCCAGCATGCTCTGCACATTTGCGCTTTTCTGCACTGTTGCTCAGTGATGTTGAGATCCAGGAAAATTTGACGGACGTACACACAACTGATTAATTCAATTCATATTTTTACATTAAAATTGATGTAGATTATACTTAAATATCGTTTGCAGCTTCTTCAGGGTAAATACAAAAATATATATTCTAACATCTGCAAGAACTTTAGTTATTAAAAAAATAGTATATGCATGTCTTTATCTTTGAAAA